GAGCAGGTCAAAAGTTATGTCTATCTGGGATATATGATTACAGATGATGGAAGGAGTGATAAGGAAATTGGAAGAAGGATTGGAATTGCAAGGACTGCATTCACAAACATGAAACAAGTGCTGACTTCAAGGGAAATTAGTATAAAAACAAGAATTAGGTTGGCAAAATGTTATGTTTGGTCAACCCTGCTTTATGGAGCAGAGTGTTGGACAATGAATGCAAGTAATGAAAAGAAATTAAAGGCATTTGAAATGTGGATGATTCGGAGAATGCTGAGAGTTTCTTGGAAGGCAAGAAGAACAAATGAAGATATCCTGGCAATTGCAAACCAGAAAAGGACCTTATTAGAAGTAGTAAGGAAAAGAATTGTGAGATATCTGGGTCATGTTATGCGACACAACAGCCTACAAAAACTATTACTAGAGGGAATGATAGAAGGGCAAAGAGGTAGAGGTAGGCCAAGAAAGAACTGGTTCAGCAACATCAGGAATTGGACATACTTAACGTATGAAGAGTGCTCAAGAGAAGCACAAGATAGGTCATGGTAGAATGAAATGGTTGTCAACCTCCTGACAGGAGAAGACACATAAAGAAAGAATTTATTGTATTCCAAATTTTCTGTGAATCTCCAGTCTACAATTTCTTCCCTATACCTTGCTTTGGACTTAGTAGAAATAGGGAAGAAACTATAGTTAAACAATAAATTATTAGATATTAAAGCTATCGTACGTAAACTAAAAATGTGAGGAATTTAGTTTTAAGAAAATAAAGCAAAGTACAGTACATTGTGCCATAAGATAAGTTGATTTCATTAGAGAAAAGTTATTGTTGAGTGTTTTTTTTGTATCATTTTGATAAATATTCTGGTGCATGAATAATGGCAAATTACATTGATACAGTGAAGTGTCAAGAATCATAGTTAATAGCTATGAGACCATTTGTAATATGCCTAGTGAATTTGATAATGGTAAGATGCTGGTAAGTGTGAGTGGATTATAATAGGGGCATTTTGACAACTTGCTGCGATGTGATGTTCACGAGTTTGAATTTAATAAATGAAGTTAAAAATCATCGTCATATCTAAAAAATAGGAATTAATTAAAAAATGTTTAATAAAAAATAGTTGTGATTTTAGTAAATAGTTACTAATAAATTATATAGATTTGTAATACTGTAATGTAAATATACATTATGCATTATACTTAAAAATGGGAATGACATCACTACACTTTGACACTTTAATAACTCACTCATTAAGCTTCAGATGCAAAATGGCCCCAGTCTTTATTTGGGTTTTCCTCCATAAATTTGTGATAATTGGCCCAATATTTTTGCAACACCCTGTATATTTGAGGCAGAGCATTAGCGAAGCACCTATGTGGCTTACAGAATTGTGTCTGTTTTCAAAATCTGTTTGCTCAATTTTGATTAAACTTTGCCATTTTCCATTAATTGTGATGAGGAATCTAAAAACATAATAAAAAATGGGAGTCCATGACTTTGTTTTTGAGATAAAATGTTTCATAAGTGTGTGCAGCAAAGCATTATTGCACAAATCACATGGCTGTTGAGTGGTGTTCCATAGTCACTGACATGCCTTCTATGGGCTTTGCTGTAAAGTCGAGTTTGTTCTCAAAATTTAATGGGTTGATTTTGATTTTCCATCAGTTACAGTGAGGAATCCAAAGGTAGTAACGAGGGTCCATTTAAATGTAAAAAAATAGAGTGTCCATGACTTCATTTGACACTTTAATACCTCCTGTATATTGAAATGTCCATGCTCTCTGATGAAACTGAGTGCACCTAATGGAATTTAGTCTTAGGAGTAAAAAATAACAGCCTTGTGTGCATCTAACAAAATATGGGTGCGAAAAACAGAAAAAACAATCGCTGACAAATGATTTGGATCGCCTCTCTGTGCTGATGGGTGCAAGGATAGTTTCTTTTGTGATGGCAAGTGCAAAGTTGCATGTCCATGTCTGTCTGATACAAGGATTGCCTCATGTATGCTTAAAGGCTGCAGGAAACACCTCTTTCTTTCCCCTCTGCCTCAATTCTATTGTGATATGAGAAAGTTATGCAATGTCCTAGTTTATGGTTTTATATAGTGTAGCAAGAATAATTACAGCAGTATAATGCCAGTTCTCATAAGTTTTAAATTTACATTTAAACATGAAAAACAATTTAAAGGGATAGTTGTTAGTCACTGAACTTTGAACTGTTACAATTATTATTTGTAACTTAGCTGTGTTTGTTTGTCTGTTTTGTTTGTTCATGAATTACAAAAAATCTCTTGCTGTTCTTCCGTCTGGTGTTTTAAAATAAATAAAAGACTTTGGAAGGGTGTGGCTTTCTTAAACTGTAGTTTTTGGGGCATTTATATTTTGGAAAATATGGAATATGTCCTCATATAAATGTTATTCTGGTTCCATGAAAGTTTTATAAAAAGCAAGAGTTATATAAAACAAAAACGGAATGAAGTGAAACTCTTATAAAAGCTAATCACCAAACATATGCCGTAAATCCATCGGGCTAGTTTTTAAGGCTAATTACTAAATAAATTACGTAATTAATTTGGCACTAGAGGTAAGTGTTAGGCGCCATCTCTTATTAATATTAATAATTATAAATAAATTAATTAATTTAAATAATNATGGCGCCTAACGCTTACCTCTAGTGCCAAATTAATTACGTAATTTATTTAGTAATTAGCCTTAAAAACTAGCCCAATGGATTTACGGCATATGTTTGGTGATTAGCTATATTACATCGGGTTTAGCGATGATTACTCTTATAAAAGATAAACTATAGTAAGGGATGTCAGAAAACTTACTGTGCACTGAGAAATTTGTAATGACGTTAATGCTGTGGGTCTTGTCTGCAGTACCATGCATATAAGTCATATATCCCGTGTTTCCACTTTGCGATAGATGGCATTATCACTTGTTCGTGAACTTTCCAGATTTTGAAAGACTTCTTTGCCAATTGAATAATCTACAGAATTTGGTCCACTCTGTCCAGACTACAATCCCCTGGATATTGGTGTCTCTGGGGGGGGGACATTTCTGGCATTTACCATAGGAGAAACTGCAATATCGCGTATAAAACTACTTAACCTTTTCTACTGCATAGTAATTTTATGAACAGCCTGTATTTGATAAGAAGTTGTTTGTGAAAGACTTCCAAATAACAATAATTGATTAGACAAGAGTATATTTAAAGAGTAGTACATTCACATCTTCAATTTTAATCTGATTTATTAATTAAATAAAAAAAATCATCCTACAGGAAGTGAAGTTTACGGTTATAAACGAGTTAAAATGTTTAAGAAAGTGTTTCCTAGAAGGAAACATGTTCATTAGTAATTACCCTTATGGAGTTATTATCCTACTTCAAGGACTTAATTTTAAATTCATTGTATCGTGTATCGTAATTACAGGATAAAAGAAAAAAATGATCGTATCTACAATTACTTGCCTAACAGATGAATTGTGCGAGTTAAATTACACTTCCGTCCAGTTAAAGATGTATTATTTTAAAATTTGTTTGATGAAATTATTTCAAAGAGAACGTAATTAAGAAATTAAATATATTTATATTTTTTATCTCAGAAGATTTCTGCATTTATTATATATACTTAAAGATATACAAAGAGAGATTTACCATTATATATATTTTAAGATTATTTTGAATCATATACAAACCTTGGTTAACTGATTTTGGGCAACCTGTATATTTTTAGAAAAATTTGAGGATTAAACTTAATGTCTTTGTTTCTTTTACCAATCATCAAACAGTTCTACATTTTTAGAAATGACTGAAGTTTGATAGATTGAGCTTATTTCTGACATAATTATTTAAATTATAAAAAATTTTACAAAATAAAAAGTTCTTAGCTTGTTAAATGTTTTAATATAGTTCATTTTATTAAATTCAAACCATAAATTACAGAATTTTGTCATAATCTGTGTATAAAAAAAATTATATAATAACAGAAATTGTCTTAATGCAAATAAAATTTAAGGTTTTTGTTCTGTAACCTGACGAAGGCTTATCAGTTTAGTTGCTGGATAAGTGTCTAAGGTGCCTTCTTACACTGGTGAAGTTCCAGCATAGACTATTATAGATACTTACGAATTTACCATATGATTCGTTTAATCTGTTAAATTATATTATTTTACATCAAGCAGAAATCCATATATTTATTTTATGTATACATTACAAATATGCAGTTGAACTTTCTTATTATGAAGCTCACTTCTATAACTTTGATAACCAGTACTAGTTCTCTTTTTGACTTAGGCCAACCCTTCGTTTAACGTCTTCCTTTCCTTCTCGACATGGCTCTGCTTTTTCTCCCGCCTCTTCCATTCTTTCTTTTTTCAGTTTTCCTCACTCCATTGATCTGTGTTTTCTGAGAATGTTTCTTACATTCACATTCTTTGTGTCGAGATACTTTGGCATCTGGCAATATGCATCCAAAGAATTTGTCTTTTCCAATTGAGGGAAGTCTCTTTTCATTTTGCAATAAATTCTATAAATATACACATCAATCGAAACCCGATATCTTAAGCAAATATACTACAATTGCCGTAAATGATCGGGCTAAACTTGGATATATAATCAATCTATAATCATATATCCAAAATTTAGCCCGATTATATTTATTGCAGTTGTAGGTGTATTTGCAATCAATTCTATCGATTTATTTTTGTAATCGGAAGAGTTTTTTTTATGAGTTTTTCTAGTAAGTATATGATTTTCTTGTAAGAAGCGGCATTATGGACATCTCTTCGATTACGAACGTAAAAGTCACGATAGGATTGATTATATTGGAACATCTGTATTTGAAGATAGTTTCAAATATCAGTATACAATTTATTTCATATTGTTAATGTTATATAGTATTCTATACTAGTTATTTCATTGATATATTTATTTTCTTTACAAATAAATAGAAACCAAGATAATCAAGGTTTTATTTTTACTATAATTGTAGGTATTGGAAAAAATCATAAAGATGCAGCAAGTGTAAGAGCTACTTATCCTATACCAGCAGCCTGTGGCCTTTATTATTTTGAAGTGAAGATTGTTAGCAAAGGAAGAGATGGGTAAGTGCATAAATTTTAACTCTAAATTTTGAAATTATTCAACAATTACTCTAAATTATAGTGTGTACATGAGTTTTAAGCATGTCAATCGCCAAGAATGACCAATAAAAATGTTATATACTGCATAAATTTCATGTCTAGCTTAGTGTACATTTGTCTGAAGGTTGATTTTTATATGGAAAATATAAGCCTTAACCAAAAACTTTAGATTAACTTATACATTTCTCAGTTTACCATTCTAAGAGCTTTATTTGCATAATTAAACTGTAACAACTTTAATATCATACAAGCCAGCCCATTTGAACATATAGATTTTTTTTTAATTTAAAGGAAAAGAAGTTAATATTGCATTCTTCCATGACATTGAAACGCTTACATTTATATAATTTCTTTCTAAAATCCTCAGCGATGCTTTATAGGATTTTATCTTTTTCTAAACTAGATTTTCTCAATTTATTTTTTTAGATTACTGCTTTTATTTGAATAATAACCATGGCTATTATTTAAACTGCATATTTTCTTTGCTGTTACTGTTTGAGAGTTTTTTACATTGAAATTTTCCATTAATTTTGATGTAAAAAAAAAAAAAGAAATTGTTTTAACAAAGGTATGTTTTGCAATGTAAATCAGTGCTATTCAACGTGACTGCCTTGCATTTTGAAGCGCTTTTCCCAACATTCTTTTGTAACTCAGAAAACATTTTGAAGCATAGCTGCTGCTTCAATGTTGTTGACTGCTGTTCAGTTATGATGTTTAAGGTCTTGAAGATCATTAACTTTTATTTGGTAAAGTTTGGATTTGTTGAATCCCAAGCAAAGAAATCTAAGGGGATCAAATTGGGTGATCTTGCTGCCCATAGTCTTTGATTCCTTGTCAATCCTTCTTCCAGGAAAGGTTTCATTCAGATAGTCTCTAACACGGGTTGTTAAATGAGGAGGTGCCACATCCAGTTGAAACACAACAGTACCAAAAATGCCATTGTCTGAGCTGCATCTTGAGAAACTGTTGTAATATATCAAGATGTGTTGCCAGAAATCATGGTTTCTGTGAAAAAAAATGGCTATTCTCTTCTCCACTGTCAATATTATATGCATCCTGGATGGTGTGAGAGACTTTTTGGACACTGCATTTAAATATTTATTTATGAGAGTTTGATTTTCTAAACAAATTAGGCTTGAAATGACAAACAGTGTCATTTTTTATAATGAGAGTTACTTTCTACATACTAGTAATAAGAAAATAATTAATATTGTATATTTTATATTTTACTGGCAATAATAATCCAAGCTCGAACTAACCTGTCATTTACAGTATAAGATATATCAAGAATTGTTAATCCTTAATAGTAAATCTAATATGTAAATATTTGATTTTATTTATTTTTTATTATTAAGCTAGGTTCACCCTGTTGTACGAACATAAGAAATGAATAAAAATCAAAGCAATGTTGTTTGCTTTGTACTACATGATACAGAGTTAGAACATAGCATTCAAAATTTCTCAATCAATTATCTGTGAAAAGTTAATTGGCTAAATGAACAGAAGTTTAGCAAAAATCGAGATATTTTCAATCCCTAACTAACTGGTTGAACAGTCACACGACAATGAACAAGACAATTCGAATACCAAGAACTAGTGCCTCTTTGCCATCAGAAATTCTAATCGCATTACAGTAATACGGAGACAAAATTATTGTGATTTGCCTTTTTGAGGAATTTAAATACTCTATTTAATCGTTTACTTTGATCTCTGTAATTATAGCATTGTTAATCAACTTTCAAATACTAAATACTCTGTACAGAACAAATTGGCTGCACCATGTTACCTTATTCTTATTGTTTTCATAAATACGTTCATTGCCTGTTCTCGAGAATTCTATTCTTGGAAACTTCTTTAATTGTCGTAAGTTCTCGTCTCTTAAAAGTACTTTCTTGGAATTGATTGAGACAGAAGCAAAGATTTTGTCCGTACTTCTCCTTATCACAAGACCTTCATTTCTCTGAAAAGATTCATATCAGTCAGTCCAACATAATTACGGCATGCAACATTATCATATAAAATTGCAGATGGACTGCACACTACACAGAATAGATACTACATAAAATGGGTAAATTCTATATTTAAATTAATAAAAATTTTCTAAGTTTTCTCTGAATTCAAGTCATCAGCCTTAATATTTTAAATCAAATCCAAGTTTGGATTGGATAATGGCTAATATAACTATACAATAGTATACCTAATTATATATTGTTGTCTGTATAAATGAATGCATGCATGCATATACTTGTGTAGATAACAGTCATCTAGGCCAAAATAGTTATTTCGAACTATAGTATTAAAAATGTGTCAATTTACGTTACTCGGTTTACTATTAGTCAGTTATAACTAGGCCAAAGCGTGTAAATGGCCTTAATTAGGCCAAACAGAACATTTATATTCTTTGGCCTAGTTATCACTGATTAACATAGATGTGACTTTTACTATAAATGTACTGCAATTTTATTTGAAATTAATAAATAATTACAGAAATAATCTGGAGGAGTTGTGATATTTCAGTTTAAGTTTTACAAGTTAAAATTTTGAAGTTTGAAGTGTCTGAGGCTTGATATTTTGCATAGTTTTATCTTAAAATCATTTACAATTTAAATATTGCCAGTTTCTATCTTTAAAGTTACTGTAGTGGGAAATTTGTAATGACAGTAAATTAATATTCACGGCATTGCATACAAAATCCGTAAGTTGCATGACTTTTGTTTTCACTTTGAAGTAGATGATATTACTTCCCATTCACGGACGTTCCTGTTTTCAGACCGATTTTTTTGAGAGACTTGTTTGCCAGTCATATCTCCTGTGGAGTCTGGTCTGTTAGGTTGCAGGACCTCGCTCCTCCAGATTTTGGGGCCTCCGGGGGTCATTCCTGGCATTTTCTGTAGGAGAAACTACAATATTGTATGTAAAAATTTTTATTTCTTGAAACTTTAAGTAAAATTTTTCACTGCACCGTAACTTTTTGGACACCCTTTAAATAGGAATAGATTAGAATAGTGAAAGGTGAATCATCCGAGTCATGATAAATCTTTTTCGCAATTCATTTTTGATGAAAATTACCTTTTGTTTTTCTAACTAAGCCATCAAAATTCCATTTAAATGCAATAAGTATCTGCATATTTGCATAAAGTTTTTAATTCAGACTCTAGAAAAGTGGTTTAGCTGAATAATAGCATAAAAGTATATATTTTTAAAAGGACTATATTCCTTTTTAAAAGTAGAGTTGACAAAGATGACATATCATTTATTTTATTAATTAATTTATCAAACAGTCCATTTTTTTAAAACACATCCAAATGAGATAAACTTAATGAAATAACAGAAAAAATTTTGGCTCTTTCCATTTGACAGTACAATAGTCAATTTTTTTTTTTTTTTNCAGGTTATATTTTGAGTATTTCATCATCATTTCAGTGGTGATTTACTTGTTTATATTTGTATTTAGGTAAAGTCTTATAGAATCCTTGTAAAATACTTTATCAAGAAGGAATCGTAGGGCGTGAAAGTCAGTTTTCTGTCAGGATCCTGTGTCAAAAAAAGATCCTTTTTCTCGGGATATTAGACATTCTCCTATATTTAATCCTGCATCCGTATTAAAATCAGTCGGTGTGGGTCTTGGTGTATTTTCTAAAGATGTTTTGAAGAATTTGAGGTCAAAAGCATGTTTTTTCCTATTTGTTGTGATTCCTATGCTTATACTTTGGATTTTACTTATTAATGCCACCTACTTAATCGGTACTTTATTGTCCACAAAATTTTGAATAATTATTTCTGCTTTTTTTTAAAATTTATGTTTATGAATTAAAATTAATTCATATTTTAAATATGTAAATAATTTTAATTATCATCATCATTATGTATGTCTTTTATTTTGTATGAAATATAAAACAGTTGAACATTCTATATAATTTGTACTGGAGTTAAAAGTTGGATGTAGTATTTTTTTTTTTTTTGCAATTTGATAGTCATCATTGGTATGCTCTTTCTTTGGGAGTAAGCACAAAGGCTAAGTGCCAATGACACTTAATCAAATTCTTATCTGATCCTAATCGGAGAGCCAATCTGAATTGCAAGTTTTTGCTCTTCATATGTAAAATTTTGGTCACTGCTGTATTTCAATTTTCAATTGCAGAATACCAACATTTTTATTACTGAATTTTAAATACAGAAACTGATACAAGTATTGAGTGGTACAAAAGAAATCCTCAGTTTTTGATTTGTTACTCCAAAACTCAGTTTGTAAGTTCTACTGTTAATAACATACAGTATGACAAATAAAAAAGTTATGACACAAGAATAATTACATAAATATTTTAATTAATACCTTATGTGTAGCCATTATCTTGGCTATTTATTCAATACATGTATACTACAGTATTCCATACAGCTACTGTATGCTTTGTGTATAGTATGGTATCTTCATAACATTAAATCACATAATATCCTTTTTTGCAGAAAGTTATGTGGACATTAAACGAAGCAGTCAATATATACATAGTCAAATTTTGATGTAGCACCTTCTAAATATTATCCTCGTAAATCACTAATGAATACTCTAGAACAGATCCCCTCCATAAATATTAAATAGAAAACCCATTAGTACAAGGTATTTGTAAATTAGTGTGCAAACTTATTTTGCACAAATAAAATTGTCATTAACTCATGTGATCTTTAAACTTGCTGTCATATTAGTTGATGTTAGTGAGAGTAATAACTTAAAGGTGGCTCCACACATTTGATGTTTATCGATTTCCAAATAACTGCTTTTTGCTAAAGTGTTTGTCGTTATGAAAACATATGTACACATATATGATTATTTGCCGAGCATCGGTTAGTTGTAGGAATTACTAATCTTCGTCTGAGATTTGTCCCTTTTGATTTGGCACAGTATACCGACAAGGAATGGGAAACAGTGAATAACAAATATTCGCCAATTACTGAATGGTTAACCAGACTACTTAGTATTGATCAAATGTTTGCTCAGCTTTTGGCAAATACTGAATGTGTGAAGCCATCTTAACAGATAACTATAAAGTAATTTCTGTTAAGAACATTGTTGTTAATTTTATTGAGAAAGTTGGACGTAGACTCAAATCTAATGAATTAATGACAGTCAATTACTTAGCTCTTATTCACTGTATACAGGGTGTAACAGGAAAGATGGTCACAACTTTAAGAGTGATAGAACATGGCAAAAGTAGCAATTGTCTTAATACAATGCATGGTAGAATGTGAAATTTGAACACAGAAACACAGTAAGTACAAAGAACGTGTAAAACAAAAAGTCATTTTAATCATGGATATTTACAAGAAATAATCTTTCATCTTTACGAGAATTGTTCAAATGTATGACCACCAATATGGAATATGTGCATCACAGTGGTGACGGAGTGATTGGCATACACTTTGGAAGATGCCTGGCATGTCACATACTTCTGCAGCAGCAGTGCTAAATTCTACCAACATCATCTTTGGGAGAGTCAAGGGACGTCTCGTAAATGAAGCTTTTCAGATGGCCGCAGAGAAAGAAATGAAGGAAGGAGAAATCAGGAGATCTAGAGGGCCAAAGGACGAGTCTTCCACATCTGATAAAGTTGTTGCACTTTGACGGCATTGCTGTTTGCAGCTCTGTACATAAAATGCATATCCATCTTCTCAGCATTCAAATACTGTTGCATCTATGTGGCTGTGCAACTTTCAAATGAGAATGTGTGCGAAATATGGGCCTTCTCACCAGGAAGCACCCTCTTGCAGCAAATCATTTGGTTTTCAACCATGCATTGTATTACGACAATTGTTACTTTTGCCATGTTCTGTTACCCCTTAAAGTTATGATCATCTTTCCTGTTAACCCTGTATAATTAACACATACAAAAATTGACAATTGGCTTCTAAGTAGTTCTCTGAGAGTAATTTTGTAGGAAGAGAAATTAAGCTTTCAAGACAAATGTTTAAGTAAGAGTATATAATAATATCAAATAAAACATGGATTGATGTACAGAAAACTAGAGAGAACTAAAGGGTATATACATATATCTGTTTGTGCTTTCCAAAGAAATCATAACTGCAAAGGAACATAGGATTTTAACTTTTTAAAATGTACTTTTGGTAACTTTAGACAAAGGAAAAGCTGTTGGAAGAGTTTATAATTGCAATTTAAAATTGACAGATAAACTCTCTGCTTTCAAATTGATTTTTAAACACAGATAGCATGTAGATAATTTACAAGGAATTATGGTAGTTAAATTACATACAAAATCAAATCTGATCAACTTTACTAATTACACGATACAGCTGGAATCTTATCGAGTTACCATGTAGCTAATTAATTAATAAGATACTGGAAATTTGGACTAGATATAGGTGAATAGGAGTAGAGATATTAACAGCCATCTTGTATTAAATTTAATAATTAAAAATAAATAAATTAATTTAGAATATTCACAAAGAAAAGAGATTGGCTAGGAATTATTAAATTTAACACGAGAAGTAGGCAATTAAGCTGCCTACTTCTAGTCCATGTTGTTTGCTATATTATTGAACTATCATAAGGTTAATTAATTAATAAGAATCTGAATTTTCTCAACACATCATGCTCATTTATATTTTAAGTTACAGCGCATCACAATTTTTTTTTGCCTGCAGTGATAATGGATGCATTAAAGTTGTAATTTATATTTAAATATAAATGAATATATTAATATGAATGTATTATGGCTCTCATAACTTTGATATTTTTTCCAGTTACATGGGTGTCGGCCTTTCTGCTCAAGGTGTAAACATGAATAGATTACCCGGTATGTTCTCTCTCCTATTAATTAGTTATTTAAATAATTTATAAATTCTTATTACTAAATTATTTAAATCATATTATGCAAATGAATATGATAATATTTTGCATAATATTTTAACATTGTAATCAAATACAGTAGAGCCTCATTAACTTGGACTAANGTTTCTGTTCCAGCGGAACCGGCCAGCCATATGGTCCCACGTTCACCACAGGCGATGTCATAGGCTGTGGGGTTAATTTAATAGATAACACTTGTTTCTACACAAAAAATGGACATAATCTTGGCATAGCATTTACGGATCTCCCTGTAAGTTTCTTTAATGTTTTGTCGAATGATAAATGTACACTTAAATACTACTCTCTTAATTAATAAATAGCCTCATTAACTTGGACTAATTGGGGAGACTTACTACAAATTAGCAAGGTTTTTATTAAATGTGTATTGTTAGACCTGAAAAGCACACTTTATTTAAAGTCAAATCTTATTGTGTGCGTTATCAAACCACCATATTTGTTCTTCATTTAAGCTTTTACATGCTTAAATGAAAGTAGCGTCAATCTCGTTATTGCCCATGTTTACTAATTTGGGCTTTAAAAAGAAGCCAATTTTACCTTCCTGGCTGTTATGTATATAATGTAGGAAAGTATTGTAATAGTGTGTCAAATTTTGCCCCCTTCCCCCTTTTTTTTGTTGCAAATCTCCATATTTTGAGATCCCCTGAACCTCAAAAAAGTAAAAAGGGGGAGGTTCTGTTTGTATGTATTGGTGTTTATTTTGTTCAATATCTCAGGATGTGGCAAAGTTTAAGAAATGATATTTGGCACGGTAGCTTGTATATAAGGGTCAATGATGCTATTAAATTTTGTTGGTTAAAGGTCTAGTGCAGGCATGGCCAACGTACGGTCCACGGGCCGGACTCAGCCCATCTAATGAATTTATGCGGCCCATGATTAATCTTTCAATATTAGTTACTCAAGTCCGAATAGCTCAACAAAAGATTCTGATTACTTAAAAAAAAAAAGGTCAACAATTCACTGTGTGTGTTTAGAGTTAACGCTCCATTACAAATCTAAAGCATGATAATGTGAAAAATGTATCTGTAATCTCTATGTACAATTTAGTCTCTAAGAGTTGATACCACAATGAGATCTCGCACCACCTCAAAATCTTCCTATGGCAGCCTCTGGTTCGGCCTGTGAAAAAAGTTTTCTTTCCAATTCAGCCCAAGGGCAAAAACTGTTGGCCACCCTGGTCTAGGGATGGGGAGATAAAGGGGAGTGGTGTATAATATCTTGAAGGAGATTGGATATAATGAAAATTTTACTCATTATTCACATTTAGGGTTTTTCTAAAAACTCATCTATGCCCTCAAAATTAAGCCTATTACCTTTTTATAACAATAATATAAAAGTTATATTTTAATAACATTTTATAACGAATGACACCACACAATTATAACTTTATGCTAATATCTTAGTGTTTCTTTAACATAAAAATGCAGTACTCGTTCAATTTTTGTTTTGATTTTTCTTGTTACTATTCCTTGACCATTTATTGTTGCACATGTCTAAGAGTAAGGTAATAATAGCTAATAGAATTAAAAAATTACGCAATGCGAAATAGTATTCCAAATTATCAAGGCTTTACTGTATTTGCAAATTCAGTAATCTCTTGATATATTATTACCAATACTAAATTTGTAATAGATTATACTTTATCACTTCATTAATTTTATCAACAATTTTAAATAAAAATATTTTCAATATGCAGGATCCTCTAAAAAGAATGCTACCATTTCATTTTAAATTATTGTAATTAAATTAATTATTATCCGAGAATGTTGTAACGTGCATTAAAACATTGGAAAACCGTCCAAGTTTTACATTTGCTCTTTACTTTCTCTGTGCGAGCACATCGCTACGCAAATTCCTCTTGTGCTTGCTATGGTATATATGTAATCATGCCGCTCACAGCAGTCCCAATGTTATGGCTCCTGCACGTTACTCGTGTTGCTCGATGACGGGCAATTCCAACTTTGCAAACTTCAGAACATAAAACTATTGAGAAGTTGCTTTTTTATTTATGACACTTCTTAAAGATGGTAGACAGAGACATTTGAATGATGATGGGAAACGAAACTTGACAGTTACTCTTTCAATTGGTGTACAATGCATATTTTTTGGATAATAATTAAAATAATTACAGTCATTTAAAATGGTAGAATTAATTTTGGAAGATTCTGTATACTGAAAGGTAGTTGTGTTGTTAGTAATTCGTTTAACTCATTTGTCTTTATAAATGTACCCAAAAACTGGGTGATTGATACTTCAGGGGCAAAAACCAGTTTTAAGGTTTGTGGCAAAAACCGACTTTCAGCTGCAATGTCAAACTTCAACTTGTGTTTCTTTAACTTTCGTCGACAATTATTAATTTTTAGATATTTATAAAACATTTTATATACTGGTAATCTATTTCATTTCTTTCCATTTTCAGTAGTATTGTAAGTTATAATAAATTTATTTCTGCTAGTCAACAGTAACCATAATGCTATAATTTTGTTCATTAATTGATGGTAATTTTAACTAATGAGACTAAAAACATTTTGAATTTTACAGGATGGGATAAACATTCTTATGGCTATCACGGAGACGATGGACATAGTTTCTGTTCCAGCGGAACCGGCCAGCCATATGGTCCCACGTTCACCACAGGCGATGTCATAGGCTGTGGGGTTAATTTAATAGATAACACTTGTTTCTACACAAAAAATGGACATAATCTTGGCATAGCATTTACAGATCTCCCTGTAAGTTTCTTTAATGTTTTGTCGAATGATAAATGTACGCTTAAATACTACTCTCTTAATTAATAAATATTTATTAAATTAAATACATACTGTGAAAACATATTTAAGAATTTATAGGTTAACTAATATTTCTCTTATCAGAATTAACTGTTATGTGTTTAATTTTAACTTTTAATGTGCCACATTAATTCAATACTCGTGTATTGTTGATACTTGAGTATTGAATTAAATTTGCAATTTTAAGAATAGTATGGTGATAAAATAACTGAGCCCAAGATTTATTGGATAATATTTCAGGATTAAATTATGTTAATTATAACTGGAAAGTATTCACCATACGTCATTAGAGAAACTGTTAGTTTCATCTGCCATCTGCATACAAACGTCATGTTGTTTTCAGCCTCTAGGAAGCACTGTAAACAAAATTGGTGACTCCACATCAGAGAAGGTGTTTTGTGTTCTTAGTTTGCAAAGTTAGAATCATTTACAGGGACATTTTGGAATTGTCATTGACACAACTTCGTGGACTGCAGAACACAAAATGTCTTCTCTGTTGCGTAGTCACCATTTTTGTTTATGGAGCTTCCTAATGTTGGCAGATGATGAGACATTTGAATGCAGAGAAAGAGTAACTGCCCGAGTTTAGTCACCTCCCGTAGGTGACTAAACTCGGGCAGTTACTCTTTCGATTGTGTATGTCACATACTTCTCGGATAAGAATAAACATAATTACAGTAATTTAAAATGGAATATTCATTTTGGAAAATCCTGTATATATTAAATAAAACATTATAGATAAGTAATTTAATAATTTTGTGAAAGATGGTTAAAAAATTGTAGCATTTTATATTGCTGACTGTTAACCTAGTTATACTCTCTATAAAATAATTCATCTAATTAAATTGTGTATAAAGAAATGTAACAATAGTTAGAACAAATTACCATCAAACGTCTTACCTATTTTAATCTATAATTGTTTTACATTAGCTTTCATTGTTTGCTAGCTTGACAGTTGCAGCTTAATATAAATACAGAAAAATACAAATTTGTGTACTGTTATATTTGTGTTTTCTTGTCTTATGCTGGTATTAAAACTGAAAATTTCATGCAAATTTTAAAAATGTACTTTTGGACCAATTTTTTTCTTTCAGAATATTTTAAAATTANTCACAAATGAACCAATATATTTTTGATATAAATAAATGCATATCCGTCCAAGTCAATAAAGCAACCCTTTTTCCTCTTAAAGTGTTCCTGTATGATACGTTCTCAACAGCAACATTGTGCTTAATAATTGTTTAGTCTCGTGGTCCGACAAAGAATTCGGCTGTTTGTTTGGTATTTGAAATTTGCTATTGAGTTAGTTGTGTTTATTAAAGAAATTACACTATCGATTTCTAAAGCTAATGAAAATCAAGCAGTAAATTATTTAAATACCGTAAAGATTAATGAAATTATTATTTTGAATTGTTTTTAGTATTGCAAATGGTTAAAATAGGGTGGACCAAAAGTCAATTTGTTGGAAGTGATGGAATCTTAAAGCCATTCCAAGCTGGTTTTAACCTTTCTTAAAATACATCACAGTTAACTGACTTTTGGACCAGCCTATATTTTCTTTGACTTCGTAGTTAAATCCAAAATATTTATAAGATTTTATTAATAGTTTTTATTATTCAGGATATTTCATTGTCTGTTTTTTTTGTAATGTTATATTAAGGAGAAATTTTTATTTGCAGCCAAATCTATATCCTACCGTAGGTTTGCAGACACCCGGCGAAGTCGTAGACGCAAATTTCGGACAAGCTCCGTTTGTTTTCGACATCGAAGATATGATGAAAGTAAATAAGCAGTTTACATTTTTGCAAAATCTAAAGAGTTATAACTAAATTAAATTTTTATTACACGATAAATTCTTAATAAGGTCGAAATTATTTAACTCAATCGCGGAAGAATTTGAAAGATTCTAGGGATAAAAAATAGCATTTTATTTTTATTTATCTTATCTAAACATTTTTAATCTGTGTTCATTATTAATATTGAATAATTATGAATAAGTTATTTACTAATAATAAGGTTTATAATTTAAAAATTAATATAGACATAATTATTAATAATTATTAAGCAAATTGATTTGTTAATGTTTTGTCTCTCAGGAGTTAAGGATGCAAACCAGAATGACTATTGAAAAATTTCCAGTAAATGATAGACAAGGAGAATGGCAGACTCTTCACAGGTATCGTACAGTAGAATATGAATTTAATCATAATTTACTATAATTATATACATCTTTCTCTTGGCTTAACACCTACATTAATATATAAACAAACATCAGCTAACCCAATAAACATTAAAGCAACCAAAGTTGAATTAATGGGCTAGAAACAGCTATAATACGTTGCCAATTACCCGGAAAATTATGCTACCTGGACCAGAGGTCCAGGTAGCATAATTTTCAATGCATCTGCACGGTAAGCAGGAGTTGTGGGTTTGAGTCCCACTCCGGGCTGATTATTTTCTTCCAGTTAGTTCTAAATTTATTTAAATATTTAATTAAAATTATAATTATTAAATTTAGCATGAGATGGCACCTAACGCCTAACTCTAATACCAAATTATCTCAAATTATTATTATTATTATTATGTGTTGGGTTTAGTGGGTTATACTCGGTACACACCGGTGGCTGTGTACTATGCCAGACCAGGGTCAAGGCATAGCAACCAAAACAAAACTAAAATTAAGTGTGTGTGTCAGTGTCAGTGTCTGTATTTAGGAATTTCCTAACAATATGGCATGTATTCAATATAGTGGCCTTCTGTAGTGTTATGTATGTATTTCTACTCAATTCTAATGTTCCCAGGCTTTTGTGTAGCGTGTGTGGTATCACACCTGTACAGGAGAGAACAACAGGTACAATAAGCACCCTATCCATCCTCCACAGATGNCTTATTATTATTATTATTATTATTATTATTATTATTATTATAGCCATTTTTAGCCCATTAATTTGGCTTTGGTTACCTAAATTAATTATTTAATTTGTGTTTTACTGCAGTGATTCTTAACTCTTGAGCTGTTTATATACCTTCTGAATTTTTAAAATGAACTCTCATATTCCCCAATGAAACTTCTCAATTTTTTGGGGGAGTAGAGTTGTACCCCTAAATAATGAAGTTATGGATAGCTGCCATTCTAAACATCTGTCACATATTCAATTAATTCTTAAATGCAAATATGTACACAAACAGTATATAAACAAAACATTTACTTCATGTAGTTATACCTTGACTTTGTCCATTATAGCAGTAGACACTAGTATATGTTGAATAGGATACATTCCAATAACACAAAAATAATAAGATCTAAAGGATATGGCACGAACCAACAGTCACTGTCACACAGAGTTCTGTTCCAAAACTCCTAAGCTGGTACTTAGATCTGAAAATTGGAAAATATCACCATTGGCCAATTACAAAAGGCCACACTTTCTATATCAATACATTACTAGATTTTTGGGAAGAATCTGAGGTGTAAAATGGACAACACCAGTAATACAACCAGTTGTTGAGAAACAGATACATAATAATAATACAATTTAAATTTGATATTTGTGCATTTTTATTATCTTATTTTAAGAAAAGACTGTAATCTTTTCTTGCATTTTTTTTTATCACTTAATAAATTTAACTAAAGAAAGAAAGAAAAATTTTATTTTCTTCCTAGAAAAGATGTCTTAGAAATTTTGCATCCTCCAAGAAAGTTTCCTGCATTCCCAGGGATATGTGCACTCTTGGTTAAGAACCATTGTTTCCAGTATCTTAAAATGGTTTTTAATGTTTATTAATACAGTAAGCAATTGGGTTTTATCGGATAAGATAAAAACAATATTATAATTAGATCTTTGTTCATTGTCAACATATTAAAAACTAACAGATTTATGATTGTTATTTTAGTACTGTTCATTTAAACTTGTCAGTTAAAACATTATATTTCCTTGGTCAAATTTTATAAATGATATTAAATAAAGTAAGCAATTGGTTCTTTTGTATTGCTTCTTTGTTGTCACAAGTTGTATTTCAAGTTACTTGAATTATTTATCACTTTAACTTAAATTAAAACAAAACTTTTTTTATTTATCTACTTGTCACAGAGAGTGCTTTAGACTTGAGTTTGAAATACATTATAGTTTATTTTCTGTCCATATATATTTATCCTTTTGGGTTAACCAAATATATATATATATATTTGGTTATATATTATAAGGGAAGATCACATAATAGCAAGACAAGTGGAATCAGATCTAATGACCTTTTTCCCCACTTTCCAGACAAGGATAGGAACATATTGAGAATGGAATTTCATACTGTCTAATTGCAAAGTGACTTGCAGAAGCAGAAATGCATTCACTGCATTTCTTATGCTGACTACTGTAATGCCCTATGACAGTATCTTCATTAATGGTTACATTGTAATCGTGGACTGTCTTGAAATGGCAAGGCATCACTTTTAGCAATGAATCTTGCTTCTGTCTTGATGCACAGAGAAGCACAGTTTGTAAATAAGTCACATACTGCATGAAACAGATTGTTTTGTCTGGGTTTGTTTTATATTTTCCAGTCAATCTATTAATTTTGGATATATCTGTCGTCTCTAAATGTTTATGATCTTATATCAAATAATATCTATTTTGTGAATATCGGCACAACATGTGAGAAAGATGTTCATAATCTACCTTGTTAAATTCTCTTTCATCTTCAATATTTCAACAGCTTTTTAATTTTAATGCCTGTATTCATTAATGGGGGATAACTATTTCATGTATTTTATAGTCAAGAGATAAGACTCTATATCTACTATAATTCCATGTTCTCTTCTTTGCAGGATTGTCCAGACGTATTTAGTACATCACGGTTATTGTTCAACGGCCGAAGCATTTTCACGAAGTACGGGACAGACTTTCGACGAAGATGTTTGTTCTATCAAAAATAGGCAAAGTAAGTAAATAATTTTACATAACAAAATAATAGACTTGAGGTCAATTTTACAATGAACAGCAACCTTATTAATTTGCTGTTCATTGTAAAATGATTAACTGTATAAATATCTTATAAGCAAGTCTCTGGTAATATCCATTTTTTAAGCATTTTTATTTCATTTTGACTTAACTTATTTCAATAATAAATAATTTTCTACTTGCACAGATTGTGTTTAATTATTTTATCCTTAAATCAAATCCTTATTCTATTTAATTTATTGTTTTTATATATTTATTGTTGTTTAGTATTTTAGTATTTATTTTAATAGGATTTGTTTATTGTTGTATTGGCGATGGCAATAATTGTCTCAGCAACATTACCTATATAAAATAAATAAATATAGATTTACTCATTAATTTATTTATCTTAAAATTTATGATTTATATAATGTTTTTGACAGTTTGCTGAATATAACAGCTATAAAACATTTTAATTTTCCTTTTCTAACAAAAATAAACATTTTAAAAGCAGGATTAAAATGTTTTTTTTTTTTTTAATAATTGCAGGTGTGTCCCACTTAATGATGGGATTACATCCCAAGAAATACATTGCTAAGCAAGTTTGTTAAGTGAATGCCATAATATATACTTAGATAAATATTTTATAGTATAACCTAATACTCATATGGCTCTACATAACACAGTCATAGGTATTTATGTATTTAAACATATCCAAATGTAGAAAAGATACAGGCAGCCACAAATTTTTCAGCTTCATTATAATCTTACAGGAACGCCATCATTAAATAGATCATACCTCCATTATTAGAACTGCTTGAGAACTTGATAGCTTGGCTACACTCTATACATATTAGACTCAAGTAACTATTTGCATCTAATAAATTAAATTATATATTTCTTATATATTGAATATTTATAATGTTTTTTAAACGTTAATATAAACAATAAATTATTGAAAATAAATTGAATTATTTAAACAGATAAATTCGTTAATCGTCATAATTGTGATGATAATGTACTGTACGTATATCTAATCTGTAATCTTAACTACATTAAAGAATACTCTACTAGTGAAAATGGAATGCAAAAGTTATTTAAAAGTTGCTGAATATATTTTTGAAAGTCCTATAATAAATTTATGGAACTAACTGCTGAAAAATTGACTTCCATACAATCATAACCATCATATTAACTGCATTATAAAAGTTATTTAAGGGAGAACTTGATGATTAGTGAAGTAACAGTGAAAATAAGAATATATCATTTGATATAAAAATATAGCCAGGATAAATTTATATTTATTTTTATTCAAATGTATTTATTTAATTTTATATGAAGTGCCACTGCCAGAGGGATTTTTTTTTAACTCTTTTACATTTAGGTGCAGACGAGCAGCCTACAATAAAAGGTTGATTCTGCCGTAAGATTGTTAATTCCTCAAATGTGCATTTGAAAGGACTGGATTGGAATAAAGACACATATGATATGTATTGTCTTATGAGGAATCTTTTTTAAAGATTTTTCTAAAGAATATATCACTTGATTATCCGAAAGTTAATTCTCATCGTTCAGCTTTGCTCCATTGTAGCAATGTAGTAACAGTTCTCATTGTAAATATTGCATTGTAGCCAGAACTTGAGGTACAAAAGCAGTCAAAACGATTGACAGATTAAAACATATTCATAGAATATTTATTTAACCTTGGCTGTTAAATAGAGAGACAAATTATTCTTTATAAATCTATTAATGAAGTGCAACTTTTTATATTTTATTATATTTTACTTTAAAACAAACATTATTCCACCTACTGTCTACCTACTTTTGGTTCACCCTGTATAGGGTGCATAGTAAAGTTAAACGTTTCTACTAACTTAAAAGAGTTATTTAGTAAAGTCCTTTTGTAACTGACAAATGTAGATAGCTACAGTTACAAATGTGATGTATAGTTATAACAAAGTGATTGTGCTACAAGATGAGACCATTCTTAGCAACTCTAGCAGTAAAATTCAGAAGTTAGTGCTCCTGTCTCGAAGACTATGCATGATATAGGGAAAGTTGTAGTGCATAATCGATTTACTACAGAAGGACACTCTGTGCATGTAAATGGCATGAATAGAAAGCATGAAATGCTAATTTTTACATCGAGTACAGGTGGTAAAAAATGTATTTCTTGTAGGTTCTCATTCATTTCCTATTCATCATTCCAACGTGCTAATGACCCATGGTGTGTCTGTGAGTATTCAGTGGAAACTGCTGGATATTCATATACCAATACTATTGGAAAGGTTATCAGAACTGTACAAAGACGAGTTAAATATTCATTCTACAACATATGGGATAATTTTCTGAATTAAAAGGGAGTGGATCTCATCTCTTATTTCCTCTCAAGGGCATTTAACTTCAAAATAAATTTTTATCAGAATTTTACTTGTTAATTAATAACACATGAGCTTGTTTACTTCCTCTGCTGAATATGGATGAAATTCTTGTTACTTTGCAGCTCATAATGTGTCTCTTTTCTTTTAATATATGCACTCTATTTCCAGTATGATTAGAAATTCAGGCAAGTTCCAAATTAATGGACACTGAAAACTGATAATAAATAATGGTATTTAAAATAATAAAAATTAGCAAAACAAATAGCACAGATTTGCAAAGAAGTAGCATTGAAGCAGAAGCTAATAAAGCTCCTTTAAACTAGGACTGGGTAAAGATTTTGATCATAAGAAATAACTTGATTATTGATCATTCTGAATTCCGGTAGGATATGAAATCCAATCAGATAATTTGCTTTATTAACTTTAAATTAAAGTTAATTGTTCTCTCAGAATACTCTTTACAGTAATTACAGATCTGTTGTGGTTATGCTGACAATAGATTTCTAATTACTATACTGTAAAGGTGGATGCACATGCAGCGAGGAAAAGCGGCACAATGGCATCACTTTTTCTCCCTGCAGAAGTCTATTTCCTGCCACTTTTCTCGTGCCACAAAAGTTGATTGAATTCTATCTTTTGTGGCAACTGCTGCTAAGAGGAAAAGATAATAAATTTAACACAAATTCTACACAAATAGTCATATAATTTAATTCAAAGAACAAAACAATCGAATCTCACTCGAAATAGTATTGTTTATGGAGAGATCTTAATCGAGAAATAAGCGTATTTTGTACACCAATTTTTTCTTGATCCAAGAAGATATCTCTAATCCAAAATCTTCATTTGAATCTTTGACAAAATCTTCTATCTAACTAAAGTAAGCTGTACAAAACAAAATTTGTAAACATGTGGCTAGCAGCAGTGTCGGTATCATTCGCTATCTTGAATACTGAATGCATGCACCGAAATGTAAGTGGATTGCTGCTAATGTGGCAAGGAAAAGTGGTGTTGCAAGCACATCTTTACTGCCACAACCAGCGCATCTTTACTGCACGGCAGCACAACCACATGGTTGTGCTGCCGTGCAGTAAAGATGCGCTTGCAACACCACTTTTCCTTGCCATATTGAATGTGTGCATTCTCCTTAATATTAACTGCTATTCAGATATGCTTGTCTTCACAAATGAACCAATATATTTTTGATATAAATATATTTTTACTTATTATTATTTTGGTTTAAAATATATAAAAATTTGTTAAATATGAAGTTTGTTCTAATGAGTTTTCTATGTCGGTATATTTTACAGGGATACAGAAATTAGTATTAGCAGGTAGAATGGGAGAAGCCATCGAAACAACGCAAAATCTATATCCCGGTCTTCTAGAACGTAATCCTAACTTGTTATTTATGCTTAAATGTCGTCAGTTTATAGAAATGGTAAACGGAACAGACAGCGAAGTCAGATCTGGTAGAAGTCCGAAGTCTCGGGAGAGTTCGCCCAGCATGAGTCCTAACTATTCTACACAATACCTACAGAGGACAGCTCATGTTTCTACCGTTGTATCGCGATGTCACAGTCCTCAGATCATACCAACCAAACCAATTGTGCCAGTGACTTCAGAAAATAGTGTAAATAATAATACGTCAGTAGAACAAATGAATGCAACTAATAATGTGTTAAATGGAGAAATTACAAACGGGAATTCGGAATTCGTCCGAAGTGAATTCTCCAATCCCGATCCGGACATTGAAATGGAGAGCATGGACTCCAATGTTAATGATCACGTGAGTGTGTCTAGGACTATGATGTCCATAACTAATGGTACTGTAATTACCGGTTCGGATAACTATCAAAATGGTTGCAGTCACGAAAACGATAAAGTAGAAAATAGTATGGGTAAGGATAACTTTTTTATAATTATTTTTTATTAGAACAATATGAAAGTTATATTATTTATATATATTTGAATAGAAGTTTATTTGTATTATATGTTTGAACCCCATTTATATGTTTTTTGCAATTATACGTTAAATATTTTCTGCACTGTACTTTCTCTGTTATAAAACAGTTCAGTTACACATATTTCGTTTATACAGTTTTGCACTTACAAGGGAAACCTTCCAAATCATATGCAAAATAAATGATGTTTTGAGGGCTGTTGCATGTATTTGTTTCTGAGAAAAATGAAAATGGGGTTCATTTTTATGTTTGGCCTGCCAGGTACCAGAAAATGGCCTTAAAATTCATAACACACACACAAACATACGACTGTTTCACCCTACCTAACCAACCATTTTTCCTGTTGGTGAAGTGGTAACAAGAGCAGACATGTCCCTCTCTGCCTCTGGTAACTGTCTACTTGTGACGACTTGGACCGTGAACGTAAGATGCCTTGGACTGGTTTTTTCCGATCTTTTTTTGACTAGTGGTACTGCATCTTGGTGATCTTTTTTGCTTCCTTGTGGCTTCCCTACTTCTTCATCATTGTAATTATTACACTTTGTTTACCTTTCGTAGTATACAACTTGGCACTATATTCTGCAGCACTCCCAAACCCGGAAGAGTGTCACAGTATCCTGGGCAAAACCACTATCTTCGATTGTAATGCATGTTCTCCATTTAGACTAATAAAAATTGGTTTGAAAATGCATATTAGAATTTAGAAAATATGATACAGTAGAATTCTGATTATCCGAATTGATTTGTTCCAAAGGTGATTCGGATAAATGGAACACTTAAAGAAATGTATCCTACTGTGTTTATTATTCATCAACGTATAAGAAGCATCCTACTGATAATTTGAATCTGTCATTGCAAATAGGCACTGCCAATCGTGCAGTCGCACAACATAAAAGAATTGCAGTGTGACATCGGTGGGGGAGAGAGGAGGGCAAGTGGCTGTTCGGATAATTGGGGCTCTACTGTATATACAAATTTATTGATGAATTAGAGGAGGAACAAGAGGAAATCATAATAATTGAATATAAGTTCTGTTGTGGGCTATTATTATTTTCCTTAAATACGAGACTTATTACTCCAGTTGTAAAGGAATTACAGCAAACTCAGGAAGTCGTCGTCTTTTACTATTAATTAATTGACACATGGGAGAATAGTGTAATTCCTTTGTGTCCAGTGTAATAAGTCTCTTAACGCAGATAATAATAGTCTGCAATCAAACTTGTGAAATAACTAGATGTGAAGCAATTGTAAGAAATAATAATTGAACATTTTTATAATACAAAATTATAAATATGTTCCTGTTTGATTTCCAACAATTCTAGAAAAATTGATTTATGCTGTATGTCCATACTTTTCCAATTGTAACTAATTTGTTTACCAACTCTTGTCATATTCATTTTTGTTTTAAATACATAATACAGTTGATTTTGCTTAATTGTGGGACATGTTCGGACTAAATCATTTTGGCCCAATTAAGCAGTTGCCCCAATTAAATGAACTAATAATAAATTTTAAAATAAAATATGTAATAAGTAGGTAAAAACAATAATAATTATGTACCTTTTTAATGCTTTATTAAACCAAAATACAGAAAATATTTGTAATATAAATTTGCCAGACTCACAACGATAGATAACTGATTCACATCATGCTAGTGTTGCCAAATACAGTATTTGTAGTGGCGTACACAAGGGTTGACTGTTCGGTCAGGAAGGGAGAAAGGAAAGGGTTCGTCCAAAAGTCACCTTACAGTCTTCCTTTGGGCAGTTTCCTTTACTTGGAGATGGGCCACTTTGGCAGGAGCGTCTGTAGAAAATGCCAGCTTTGGATGCTGGTCTCTATGATCAGATAGATGGCTGCGGTCCTAATCTAGATGTAATTATGCACATAATACCTTCCAAAGGGAACTTTAGCTGTCTTTAACTCGGTTGAGAGACCTTGAAAAATTGTCTGGGGATCTTTGTCCCTTTGCTTTTAAAGGACTTGTCTAATCTAATCCGTAGTTGGGTCAGTAGCTTGCATTCAGGTCCATCTCAGACGGGATTCCCGTGTAATACATCCCGCTATGCTGACTCCCTCCGGATAAACCAAACTGCCTGAACAAAAGACAAAATTGCTGTCTCTTCCAACCGTTAGACCTACACAACATTAGTGTACATTACATAGTGTTTACATATTTTTGGAAGATCCCTTAAATATATCAAAAATTGCTAAATTTTTTTTTTTGCTACTGTTCCAATTATGTGAAAAGTTGTCTCCATTAAGTGATTAAATTATGTATTAATTTATTAGTTTGGTGTTTTCCGTTCTTTGAGATATGGCCCAATAAAGCAGCTACCCTGATTAACTGGTGGTCCAATTAAATGGGATTGACTGTATATACATCATTTGTGATACAGTTTAGTTATGTTGTTAGTTTTGATCGGTTTTCAGATATAAAAAGACAATAGATTATACTATATAATATTATTTTCTGCACTGATACAGGGTCTTCCAAAAAGAATGCTACCATTTTAAATTATTTTAATTACATTAATTATTATCCAAGAATGTTGTAATGTACCGGTACATTAAAACAGTTGAAAACTGTCAAAGTTTCATATTTCCCCATTATGGTTCTTGACACATTCACTTCACAGCACATGTCCAACTGATACTCAAATTCTTCCTATGATCACTATGGCTTATGTCATCACTCCTCCCTTGGTAGCCGCAATGTTATGGCTCCTGCAGATTACTCGTGTTGCACGATGACGAGCAATTCCGACTATGGAAAATGCCTTCTCTGTTGTGGAGTCTCTGTCTTCATTTAAGGCAGTTCTTAGAGGCAGCAAACAACAAGATATTTGAATGCAGATGGGAGAAGAAACTCAGACGGTTACACCAAGTACATTGCATACTTCTCAGATAATAAACCTAATTATGGTAATTTCAAATGGTAGCGTTTATTTTGGAAGACAATCTTTTAAGTATTTACCTTTTTAATTACAAAACTTGTGAAACAGCTCTGATGTTTTTACTGGTTGTAATTGGAAATTCATTTGGGAATTTTACATAATATTGTTAGATTTAGAATAATCAATTAGTAATTAATAACATATAAAGAATAGCAGGTGAAACTGTAAATACAGTATAAACAAATACTCAGATGACTTGCAAGTGTCAGTTACATCATTCACAAAATAGTTTTACAAATTGACTGGACCTATTCATTCTCATTTTTCTTCCCATATTTATATTCTAGAATAATTCAGTTTGATCTACGCGCAACCTTACAACCTGTCAAAGTCAATGTTTAATGCATTGTCGAGTGTTGAATGGAAATGGTAACTGGTCACAATATAATTAACTACATATTAGACCAATGCTACTCAAATTGTAGTCCACGACGAATGGTTTTGGTTTGCAGCATGGTAATAAACTGTTTACGGACCAGTTTATTAGTGTTGTGGCGAGATTTAGCACAGATTTTCATAATTTTAAAGATTACAATGATAAAACTATTTAAAAACACCCTTAAAAGTATTATGTTTTTGTTATTATTTTGAACACTTGGTGTTGGGTGTACTGGGGAAATTGTCGTGGAGAAACTACTAAAAAATTGCCCACAAACCCATTTTTTTTTTAATGATTAGAACTAAATTTCATTATTATTCCTACTAATTTCGGTCTAAATTTAAAGTAAAAAACAAAAAAAAAAATGCATTTGAACTGTTTGTTTCATTTTATAATTATTTATTTATTTTTTATTTCACAAAAATACTGGTCCACAAATACAAAGTTTGAAAAGCCCCGTGCAGTTTACTCTATTAATGCTACAAATTCAACTTGTAAACTGCATAATAAAAAGTAGCGCTTGTAATCTTTTGGTCTGTTTTTCTAATGTTGTTAATTCCTTTTTTTTAATATAAAAATTTTTTGCTCTAGTAGATTAATATCATAGAACATAAAAGTAGATGCAATAATATTGTGAAAACTAATCTACAGTAAAACTATCTCAAGCTGCCATTTAGTTAACCTTTACATTAAATTTGGAGTTTGAATAATGCTCTGCTAGATAAAAATACAAATTGGCAACTGTTCACAAAATTTAAATTGGTTGCTAAATATAGATAAACATAAAAACGCCTACTTGTCGCCGAGCGATAATTTTGAGAATTAATGAAGATTCCGATCGTCTCTAGATTCTTATGTAAGTATGACACAAATTCAAAATTTCTGACTTGCAAAATAATAAAGATCACTCATTCAGTTTCCTTTTCTTTTTTGTACGTTGCGACCTTGATTTATGAGTGCTCGATAAATGAGAATTCAATGCGACAAACTGTTTTTTCCTCCCTTTATTCCTGATCGATAAGACAAAATAAGCAGTAAAAGCATCAATCGATTATTTACGAGAACAAAATATTCTAATCGCAAGTCGACGAGATCGAAAATATTGCACGCTACGGTTAGAGGACTCGAGTTCGTTTTCTCTGTTTCGTTTGCGTTGCATTTTCCTTTGCTAAGAGTTGTAATATTTGTTATAATGTGGTTGTGTGGTTTAGTGAACTTTATATCTATGTTATAGATCATTCTTCTGTTGTGTAGTTAAACTTTTTAATTAAAACCATTTTTTTTTTATACTCTGATTTTAGTACTTCCTGCCTGTTATGTATAAAAGCCAAGAAGTAATAAAACAGACTGGCATAGTTTCCCTGTTATATGTAACAATCGGTCAAAAATGATCCAAAACTTTTACATTTTAGGACTCAGAGGACCTCAAAACATCAAAAAGCAAAAAGTTTGGGAGTTTTTTGGATGTTAGTGTGTATGGGAGAGGCACAATTTTGTTCACTCGCTTTGAAGCTTAATAACTCTTGTTCCTTTTGCCAAAAATTTCTGAAATTTTGCAGAGAGGTTTGTGTATTAGGGGCATTAACGCTATTAAATTTGAG